AGGTGGGCGCGCGTAGCCGCGTGGCTTTGGCGGCCTAGGCCCAGGTTGCGGCCTGGGAGACACAGCGTGCGCAAGCAGAGCAGGCCGGGCCAACTTTTGCTGCTGGGCCGAGCGTACAGTGAAGAATTGAATCAGTTTTTTTGTGTTTTTCTTTTTCCAGTAAATGTTTATTTCCTAGAAATAGATTAATGGCTCAAAGAAAATAGAAAAGAGATTTTTTCTGTGGGCAAAATTCATTAAATTGAATTAGTTTTTTCGCTGCTAAAGAAATAGTTTATTCTCTAGTTATTTTGAACCAACGTGATATTTAATTGGAGAAAAAGAGATTTTGACATAATTATGATATTGTTATTTTCTGACCAATGTTGTTAATAACAATATCGTAATTTTAATGATTTTATGCATTATTTTTATTTCTGCCCAACGGTGATGTAGATTTAATGTATAAACAGTTATATGTTTTAATTTTGACCAACGTTGGAATTAAGGCATGCAATTGTTGTTGTTATTTATGTTCTCACTCTATATGAATTGTGTCAGGCGGATACAACTTGATGGGTTGTATCAAAGAGATCCCCACTCTCAAAGGTGACAACTACATGGAGTGGAAGAAAAAGATTAACCTGACCTTCATCTTGGCTGAGGTGGACTAGGTAGTCACCTCACCATATCCCACTGAGCCTATGGCACTGGTGAGGGAGACAAACAAGGTTGTTGCCGCTAGGGCAACTAGAGAGAGGGATTTTGAATCCCAAAAGATGTCCTATGACCTTGAGCATAGGAAGTGGATCACTGCCAACAAAAAATGTTTGGCTGTGATAAAGAACACGATTGAGCACAGTAGAGAAAGACCAGTGTCTCTATTGCAAGAAGATGGGACATTATAAGAAAGATTGTCCCGATTACTTAAAGATGATCATGGTAAAGAAGGTGAGAATATTATTACGTTCATAAATGAATCCCTATATGTACAGTATTCGAAATCTACTTGGTGGATTGACTCAGGTGCAACTGTTCATGTTGCTAATTCCTTACAGGGATTCCGTTCGACAAGGACTACACAAAGAAGAGAAAGACACGTTAAAGTTGCAAATGGAGTCCGAGCAGATGTTGAAGCCGTTGGCAATCTTTCTCTAGAGCTTGCTGATGGCTTCACACTTTTACTTAGAGATGTACTTTATGTTCTCTCTTTACAGAGAAACTTGATTAGTGTTTCATGCTTGGACAATGATGGATATGATTGCCATTTTGGAAATGGCGAATGTAAGATAATATTTAATAATGCTTGTGTTGGTCTTACTATCTTACAAAATGAGCTTTATTTGTTATCACTACGTGATGATGTGAATGTTGTATGCGATGATGGGAACGTTGCGTGCGACAATGAGAATGTATCCTCGTCTGCGGATGTAAACAGAAAACGAAAGAGAACTCACGATGCGTCGTCGAAATTATGGCACTGTCGTTTAGGCCATATTTCGAGGGGGGAATAGAAAGACTAGTTAAGAATGATATTCTTCCTCCATTAGAGTTCTCAGATTTAGAACAATGCAGAGAATACATAAAAGGAAAGTATGTAAAGAAAATTAAGAAAGATGTCAAACGAAGCGCAAGAATTTTACAGATTATTCACACAGACATCTGTGGTCCGTTTTCTGTAAAGAGTGTGGATGATTATAATTCGTTCATAACATTCACAGATGATTACTCCTGTTATGGCTATATTTATCCAATCAAAGAAAGAACAGAAGCATTGGATAAATTTAAGATATTTAAGGCAGAAGTTAAAAACCAACACAATTTAAAGATTAAGATAGTCAGGTCCGACCGTGGGGAGGAGTACTACGGTCGGCATACCCCATATGACCAAGTTCCTGGACCTTTTGCAAGGTTCTTACAGGAGAATGGCATAGTAGCCCAGTATTCTACACCAGACGAACCTCAGCAGATGGAGTAGCTGAAAAACGTAATCGTACCCCGATGGATATGGTGCGCAGTATGATAAGTTACTCCACCTTATCGTTGAGCCTGTGGATGGAGGCGTTAAAAACCACCATTCATATTCTCAATAGAGTACCAAGTAAGTCAGTGCCCAAAACACCGTATGAGTTGTGGACAGAAAGAGTACCCTCACTAAACCACTTACGTGTGTGGGGGAGTCCTGCTGAGGCTAAAGTATTTAACCTAAACATTGGGAAGCTAGATCCAAAACAGTAAGTTGCCATTTTATTGGCTACCCAGAAAAGTCAAAAGGTTTTCGTTTCTACTGTCCAGACAGACATACAAAGTTTGTGGAAACGAGACACGTTGTCTTCCTAGAGGATGAAATGATGAGGGGGAGCATGGTAGCTCGAGAAATTGACCTTGAAGAGAAGCGGTGTATGCGCCCACTCCAATGATTCATGAGCCATTTTTCACTCTACTGTTGTCATTTGCACCGACAAAGGCAAGATACTGTGGTGCCAAAGACATGTTGTTATTCTACCCGTGGCAACAATGAATGATGATGAGGAACCTATTCTTCAGATTCAAGAGAACCTATTACCACACATGAGGGGAGAGCAACAACAGCCTCAAACAGAAGATGTGCCAAATGTGGCCCCTAGAAGGTCTCAAAGAAAAAATCAATTATTCCTCACGACTATATGAAGTATACAACACCGAGGAATTTTAAATGGAGGATGATCCCACCTCATTTGAAGAAGCCATGAGAAATGATCATTCATTAAAGTGGCTTGAGGCCATGGAAGATGAAATAAAATCTATGAATGCCAATAAAGTTTGGGACTTGGAAATAATTCCTAAAGGAGCCAAAATAGTAGGTTGTAAATGGGTCTACAAAACAAAACTTGACTCTCAAGGGAATATAGAGAGATATAAAGCGTGACTTGTGGCAAAAGGCTTTACGCAAGGAGAAGGGATTGATTACAATGAGACATTTTCTCCAGTCTCATATAAGGATTCCTTCATAATCATAATGGCATTAGTGGCACATTACGATTTAGAATTACATCAAATGGATGTAAAGACGACATTTCTCAACGGGACTTGGAGGAAAATATTTACATGGCACAACTGAAAGGTTTTGTCATGGAAGGAAAAGAACAAATGGGATGATGTAAAGACGACATTTCTCAACGGGGACTTGGAGGAAAATGTTTACATGGCACAACCGAAAGGTTTTATCATGGAAGGAAAAGAACGAATGGGATGCCGCCTAAAGAAATCTATTTATAGATTAAAACAAGCTTCAAGACAGTGGTACTTGAAGTTTGATCAGACAATAAGAAATTTTTGGTTTAAAGATAATGTAGAGGACAATTGTGTCTATGCAAAGTCTAAGAATGGGAAGTTTATCTTCCTTGTCCTGTATGTGGATGATATCTTACTTGCTACTAGTGATGTCAGTCTACTACTGGAGACAAAGAAGTTTTTATCCTCAAAATTTGATATGAAAGATCTTGGTGAAGCTTCGTTCGTTCTAGGGATCGTGATTCACCGAGATAGAAGTAAAGGGGTATTAGGACTGTCATAGAAGACATATATAGAAAAGATCTTAAAGAAAATCAATATGAATAAATGTATTCCCTCACCTGCTCCTATAGTCAAGGACGACAGATATGGGGATTTTCAATGCCCCAGGAATCAGTATGAAATCGATCAAATGAAAACGGTTCCATATGCTTCAACTGTCAGAAGCTTGCAATATGTTCAAGTATGTACGCGCCTTGACTTGGCATTTGTTACCGGGTTACTTAGCAGATTTCAGAGCAATTCTGAAACAGAACACTGAAAATTAGTAAAGAAAGTCTTGCGTTATTTGCAAGGAACGAAAAGCCTCATGATGACATATAGAAGATCAGATTCACTTCATATAGTGGGATATTCAGATTCTGATTATGCGGGAGATGATAGAAAATCCACGTCTGGATATGTATTCACTCTCGCAAGGGGAGCTATTTTATGGAAAAGCTCAAAGCAAACCATCACTACATCGTCCACAATGTATGTCGAGTTTGTAGCGTGTTATGAGGCAACGGGACAGGTGAACTGGCTAAAGAAGTTCATACCCGGTTTGAAGGTGGTTGACGATATCTATAGACCACTTCAGTTATACTGCGATAATAATCCGGCAGTACAGTATGCTCACAACAATAAGTCAAGTGGTGCTGCCAAACACATTGACATAAAGTATTATGTTGTAAAAGATAAAGTCCGAGATCATGTCATAAGTCTTGAGCATATAAGTACCAAAAAGATACTCATGGATCCGCTTATAAAAGGCTTATCACCCAACGTGTTCAGAGAACATGTAGCTGGCATGGGTTTAAGGGAAAGCCTATAATTCCTGAACAAAAGAAGACCTAAAGTTAAGTATCTATTTCAGAACAGAGTGGTGTGTTGTAGTTGTTAAATCTATCGGCAATTAACCGTGACGATGAAACATGCTCTATGCGCTAATCTATAATGAAATGAACAAAAGTAAATGATATGAAAATGAAAGATGGTAGAAAATAAAGGGGGATTGTTAGATTGATCTCTAATCTCAAACTGGGCTCAACGGCCCAGTTAGGCCTTTGATCCGCGCCCTGATCGGGGGCGCCCAGCCTACTATGGTTGGAGGGCACCTGTCACACTACGCTTATATATAGAGATGGGGGCCGACGGCTCTGAGTACGAGGTTCGCCTGAGCCGAGCTCCCCACCGATAAACCCTAACCCGATCTAGTGAGGAGTGCAGCCAGCCAGTGACGGAAAGCACCGCCACCACTGCACTACGCCGCCACCGGTCTTCACCGCCGGTCGCCATCGCCCATCACCGTCACCATCTTCACCAACCGTCGCTGCCCTCGCGCAGACACCCACACAACGATCATGGCCAACGCCTCTAGATTGAAGAACTACGATGATCGATAACCTAGCAGGTAACCTAGCACTCTCTCCCTTCAATCTCTGTCTAGTTCACGTACTAGGACATATTATCCATTTACAATGTATACTCTATCTACGACTATGTGATCGTCTTAACACTCCTTGCTCGCGGCTGTAGCTGGCGATCTCCGCGGCGTCCAGTAGCTCTACGGTTCCCTGGTCCTCGTACTTGGCCGCGGCGCCCAGGAGACGGAGCCGGTGCATGCCGACGTCCGCCAGCGGTTGCACGGAGAGGAACCGATCGGCGTAGGAGACGGCGCGGTGGAGCGTGCCGGGGGCGAGGCCGTAGCACTGGGTGAACCGTTTCATCCAGCCGACGAGGGTGGCGCGCGTGTCCTGGCTCATCCGACCCCGCTGCGTCGTCTCCAGGTAGTCCGGGGACAAGGCTTCGTCCTCCTGGGCCCGGAGGGTGGCCTCGATGTCTTCGTCATAACCGTCATAGGGACAGCAGAGCTTCGGAAGAACCATCGTGGAGTTGTCGTCGTAAAGGGTGCCGGCGCCGTCGCAGACCGGAGCAGCGGAGGACACCGACACGGGCTCCTCGACGCCCGGCTGGACGTGGCCATCGTCGTCGTCGTAGCATCAGTCCCACGGTGCTGGAACTGGAACCTCCATGGCAAGGGAAGCTGTACCGTCGGCGTCAAAGGGGTTGCCGTAGTCGTAGACCGGTGTCGGATTGAAGCCGGCGGGTGGTACTGGTAGCGCAGGGAGTTCGCCGACGGCGGGCACGTAATAATTGTGAGGGACGTCGACGTTCATTGTTGGAAACGGACCGAACTGGGCGGGCCGTGGAAAATAATCATCACAGAGATCGGACAAGCTGATCGGAGGAGGAGCAATGTCGAGCCCGAAGCTGAAGGGATGTGTCCTCCTCCCCATGTCGCCAATGGAGAAGGACCAGGAGCTGGCAGTCGAATATGGAGGCGCAATACCAAGGTCGAAGCTGAAGGGGTTGGTGTGCATCGTGGCGCCACCGCTGGAGCAGGATTCGAAGCCAGGCGGCGGAATCTGACGAACGAGAGGCCGCTTGATGAAGGCGTCCATGGCGCTGGAGCACGACTGCATGTGGGGTAGTGGCCGGCGGCGACGAAAGAGACGCGGGGCAATGGGGCATTGAGTTGGCAGCTACGTATTTATGCACTGACCTGAGCGAGTCCGAGTTGGCCTGTGGCATGCATCCGACTTTCTTTTTCATCGTTCCGTTTTTTGCGCTGTGTCGCCGGCTGCCCAACTGGAGTCTAGAACTAGAACCCGCGTCGGATTCGTGTCGCCGCCTGCCCAACCGGTTTCTTTTTCATCGTTCCGTTTTTTGCGCTGTCGAATCCTTTTCATTTTTTTTGGGCGAGAGTCGGATCCTTTTCATGTTTCTGCATGGCCAAACCGATGAAACATCCGCCGCTGCTACCAACATCGCCATTTTTTCCGGAGTCCACAACTGTCTCCTCCGTAAAACGCTGGCGATGGATCGGAGTCGGCCAACCTCTGATCCATGAAAAAAAAAAAAAAAGAAAGCTGGTTCAGATCATCGCAGAAGTCTTTTCTTGTAGCAATGTAGCAGTTACGATTGGGCGCAGCAGGAGTCTATTGCGGAGTGCGGACTCGACCGTTTGAATCTCTCAGCTGGCAACTCCGCAACTGGCAGCACATGCTTGTGCCCTTTTCTGCACCACTACTTCAGCAATATTTTTCAGCGAACGAATATTGTTTTCCTCTTATAATAAATTAGTATAAGCAGTAGCATAAGCCAAATTTCAGTGAAACAAATAAGGACCACTGTATTTGTCACCGATCTAACCAAGGAAACACAGATCGGGAGCTACGGTAGTAAGGGTTAGATACTCAGGACAGCGAATTATCGCCTCTGCCACCAGGGGCGCCTTGCACTCGGTCAGTTTTATTCGGTTTTCGGTAATGCTTGAGTCAAGACGTCTGTCCACGTCGAACGCTCCTTGATGGGCCTGTACGCTACCACTACTAGCTCAACACACCTGTGTACTCTATACGCTCCTCATCTCTCAAGAAAATATCTCCACTTCGCTCGCCTATCACGTGCTTCACCGCGCGAGGCCGCGACTGCGCTCCGCGACCACGTTTCACCGCGCCTCCCGCATGCCTTCCTCTCTACCGCACCTCTAGCCTGCCTTCATCTCCACCGCCACGCGCCCACACCGCTGCGGCGTGCTCCCCCACAACCGCACAGCCGATGTTGCCTCGCCGCACGAGGCTGCACCCACCCAATTGCTGTTGTCGCCTCCACCGCGGGTACCGCTTGTCTAGGGCACCGCACGCGCCCTATCACCAGGGGCAGCGCAGCCGCTCACCGGGGTCACGCAACCGCCCGCACACTACCATCCTCCTTCACCACCGTGACCGCACAGCCAGATCCCGCTGTGTAGTGCTCCACCCGCCTACCTGCCAGGTTTTGCTGAAAGCGCATGTTGCAAGCGTATGTTTCAAGTGTTTCAGATGGATGTTGTAAAAGTAGATCTGGATGTTGTATATGTTGCAATGGTTGTACACTTATGTTGCAAAGGTCTGTTACCAATGTTTCATCTACGTTTTTGGACGTATGTTGCAAGTGTGTTTATCTGGATGTTGCATATGTTTCATACATATGTTGCAAGTGTTTTATCTGGATGTTGCGTATGTTTGCAATGATTTTCAAGTGTTTTTAGGAGTTTTTTTCAAGTGTTTCAAAAGCATGTTTCAAGTGTTTCATCTGTCTTTTTTTTTATGTTGCAAGTGTTGCATTTGGATGTTTTAAAAGTAGATCGAGCGAGTGTAGTGGATCTCCATCTGGTTGGTGTGGATCAGATTTTCGGCGGTGTTTCTCGACTACACGGTGGTTAGTGGCGGCGGGCAGACCACGACCCTGCAACAGTGGTCAGCGGCGGCTTGAGGCAGCTCTCGGGCAGGTGCCTTCAGCACGCGGGCCCCATGTGCAGCGTATAAAATGGAGTGGAAGCGGACTGCAGGTGTGGGCGTCCGGACACTAGCACTTCTCTTCAGTTTTAGCATGCAAGACAGGTTCTCCACATCACAACCAAAGGTTAAGAAGAGACGTAACACAACAGAAACAATAAGCCTCGAAACTCAACTTCCATTCTGGGCGAGGAACTTCGGGTTGTGACACCTTTGGCGAGGCTCACACTCCTCTTGTCTTATGGGCATGGGCCGACTCCTCATCCGCTGGCGTGGTTGTGGCTGGAGCTGATGTAGGTGTGGAGCTGGAGCCGGTGACATCTCCCCGGACTTGAGAACCAGTTCGACCTTGGTCCCAAGCTGGTGCGCGAGAAAACTGCTGCTTGATCGCGCGATCTCGTCTTCCGAAGTTGCTGAGTGTCGAAGAAGAATTCAACCAGTGAATCAGCAACTGGGGCACCATCTTGTCGTGGACATGGTGAAGACGACGATCCAGGACAGCATCAGGGACCTGCAACTCATTAATGACATCAGGTAGAACTAGACTCACCGTGTGAGAAGAGGGCAAATAACTACTAAGATTACATGTGTATGCACTTTTGTAATAGATTTTGGATGGTTCAGAGTTTATAGTTCAGCAATAAATTATAATGGTTCAGTTGAATGTGCTTGTTGATTTTTTTTTTTTTTATGGGCGATTTCCCAATTTTGTATTTATTTTTGCTTTAGTTACATGCTTATTAAATTATACATGTTTTGTTTTTCTTTTTTAGCTAGTTGATTACACGTGCTTCCAAATAAGAAGGTCAGACGTGGTTCTGCCTCATGTGGTTTTGGTGGATGCTAGGGATTAACCAATTCCACGCGTGAGGGATAGTCCCCGACTACCTGTGTATATATATCAAAACAAAGCCTTAGCTAGTTAAAGCATCTCCAAGAGGTCCTTGACTATCTTAGCTGGTTTTAGAGTTTTAAGAAGCTAACCATTAGTAGTTGTTTTTTTTTTGAAAAGAAGCTAACTATTAGCGAATAAAATCAATATAGACCTCTATTTTTACCTTTCTGCGATGTTTTCTAATAGTTAGCTTCTTAAGACTCTAAAACTAGATGGGAGGAGGATGGGGGCGAAAAACGCAAGGAATGAACTATCCAGGCAGATTACACGCATAGAGTGCAAACACATATTTGAGAGTTGAATGGGAGATTTATCTTAGGAGTTGCTTTGCAAAGCTGTTAGAAATGCCTTAAAAAACAAATTAGAAAGTTGTTTTAAGGTGCTTTTAAATATGATCTGGCAGAGCAGTAAAAAACGCCTAAAATGTGCACTGTACACCGCAGTAGTGCAGTCAAAGACGTACACTTGTTTTTTTCCCCGAGGAATAAGACGGTCATTTCCATCTTAAAAGAAGAAACAAAAAGGAAAACCGTAAACCATCTATTCCATACGGAAACGGCAACCACCATGATCTGCACAGTGCATACCACACGCGGGCATGCCTGCCGCGCGCCGACCGGCGACCGGTGCTGTGCAGGTACCCAACCCACCCACCCCCAGCACCGTGAGATGCACGCACACACTGACACACGCGCGTGACATACAAGTCAGAGCTTGGAGTAGAGCTGAGGCGTGCGCCACTTGAAGAACTTGCCGGTGGGCAGGTGCTGGGGCGGGAGCAGCGCGAGCCCCGCGGCGACGCGTCCGGCCTCCTCGGCGGTGCGCTTGCCGAGTCCCCGCGTCATGTCGGTGCGCGTGAACCCGGGGCAGAAGCAGTTGACGCTCACCCCGCGCCCGGCCAGCCGCGACGCCAGCAGGCGGGAGTAGGCGTTGAGGGCCAGCTTGGACACGGCGTAGTCCGTCCACACCTCGGGCCACCCGCGCCCGCGCCAGGTGCCGTCCGCCACCTGCGCCAGGAACCGCGACGCCATCCCCTCGATGTTGCCCTCCGTCAGCGCCGCCTCGTCCAGGAGCATGCGCCGCAGCTGAGGGTCCTTCACCTTCTGCATGCCACAATCAAATCAAATGGCATTATTAGGAATTCCTCTGAATCCGACATCATATCAGATCGAATGCCACTAACTCGCTGCACTGATATGTCTGCAGTCTGCGTGCGTTAGACTGGCATGCATGCCGGTGTAGCGTTCATGTGGCTTGTTGGAGGTTGGCTCAGACATGTCATGGCTTGTGAGTTTCGACAGTTCATACATGGTGTGGAGTGTGAACGACACAGCACACTGTACACCGGGCACAGGGGCATCGGGCAGTTCTGAAGTGCTGGTATGGTATCATGTGCCAATGCCCCTGCATGGCAACGGCAAATCAAGTGGCGCTGTCTCTGCGATAGAGCGTTCAAACATTGTAGTCCATGCCTCTGAACAGAATGAGCCCATTGACAGCAGGCTACTTGCACCCTTAAGCAGCCTGCTTGCAGTATTCAGAAAATCTCAATGGATTGAGTGATTGACTGATTTGATCGGCCAGAAATAAACTAAGGTCAAGTCAACACAGACATGTGCCATCATTAATCTCTGCTACTGCCGGTGTATAGTTTCAACTGACCTGACATACAACTACAAGCATCAGACTGAAGATATATCGTTTGACAGCAGCAACTTACGTTGAGAAGACCAAGCTGGGAGCTGATGTTTAGGATGCGGCTGGTGGTGGGCGAGCGGCGGAAGAGTGGCAGCAGCGCCTCGGTGAGCATCTTGGCCCCGTAGAAGTTGGTCCGGAGGACCGTCTCCGCGTGCTCCACGGAGTTGGTGTCCATCTCGTTGAACGACACCCCAGCATTGTTCACCTGCAACCAACAAAACAGCGTGCAAAATCAGCCTCAGATTTCAGAATGAAGTACACCACCATCTCAACGGCATATCTCTCTCTCTCTCTCTCTCTCTCTCTGTGTGTGTGTGTGTGTGTGTCATCTTCCTACATATTCTCTGATTCCAGCGGTAATGCAGTCATGTATACACCATCTACTACTCTAGCTACTAAGCTAGTGCAATAACATATAGTGCTTTGGATTATTGTAGAGCGTGATGATCTGGATACCATAATGCGGTAACTAACTGCCGCCACTTTGCAATACTTAACTACATGCAGATCAATAGATAATCTGAACACAGCTTTATTAGCTCTTGTGGCTGCACGTACTGTGAGGTTGCATCGTCGTGCTAGGCACTGGGCAACAAGCTTAGCTTCTATATATATATATATATATACACACACACACACACACACACGGGTATGCGATAGTGGGAGCAGTTCGTGAGGCTAGCGTAAAATAGAAACCTGCGCGTCCATCCATTGCTTGTTTTGCTCGCTTGTGCGTTTGCGGTAGCTACTTTTTATACAACTTAGCGTGTGGCATGAGGTTCTTAAACTACGTTTTACTAATCCTAGTAGTTCATTGTTACTTGAACCGAATTCAGTGGCTTGTGCATATATATGCATATAATAAGCATGGAGGATCTCCGATCAAATGTGGGCGACTTGACTTCAATTCCAAACGACCGTAGTACACAGAATATTTTTGTGATTTCTGCTGTGAGTTTTCTATGCTATGGCTGAATTGAAATGCTTGAATAATTCCAAGTAGACTGGGTAGCTACTTATGTATCTCAGAAGTTTGACATCACCACCGGAAACATTTGTCACGTTATTAATTAGGGCATAATAATAATAATAAAACTTGAGCACCTAATATAATACTCCGGTCGCAAGAGATGACCGAAGAGCTAGCGAGCTCAACGGATTAATTGGAGGACCGGGTATAAGGCTGCTAGCGAGGTTATCCTAAATTAATTTAGTGAGGATGGTGATTTTGAAGTCTATATATCTTATGAATCGATGAGTGTGAGCTGCGGACTAGGTTCATGCGCGTCGACTCAAATTAGTCGCGGCCGGGCTACACACGGCGAAATGGTAAGGTCATCACTGCGCATAACGACTACCATGACCTTGTACGTATACTCCACCAACTGGACGTACTCCTGACGACATTGGCTTTGAACTTAATTGTGTGTGCGTGAGCATGACTTGTTCAGGCAAGACCGTATATGTAATAAAAGAGTGGTGACGGACTGGCGGTGGTAGACCACTACCAGTACCACGTTTGCCAAGCTAGCTTGCCGCAAACAAAAATATATATAGGTACATTTGACTTTATATAAGTCCAAGTGACGTTGGGTTCATATGACAAAGAAAATGGCACATGACTATTTTTTTTCGTGTTCTTCTTATATTTATATACGGAGTATAAGCATCCACAGTACACAATGTTAGGCCCTGTTTCGTTTGAACTTATCAGGCGGCTTATCAGCTAGAATTTATAGTATTTTTCTCTCACAACAAAACAGTTTCAGTCGGCTTATCGGCCGCCTGCCATGCAAAAAAAATAAAGGATACATGGGACTTCAATCGACGGCACGCCACAGTGTCACGCTCCCACATCCACTCAGCATGTTCGGTTGGCTGTGGCTTATCGTATACGATCGTAAATTTTCAGCCGAAATAGTATTTTTCTCTCATACAAAACCAAGCCGGCAACAAGCTTTTTTTATATCCATATAACGATAAGCACCACGGTGTCGCGAACGCATCCACTATCTCTACCTTGAGAAGTCAAACCCCACGGCAAAGCGAATCGAAAGGCCAAAAAGGAGACGCCCGAAACCCGAGGAAATTAAGGCTCACGGCTCACCAGGATGTCGAGGCCGCCGAGCTCGTCGCGCACCCACGACGCGAACGCGGCGACGGAGGCCGGGTCGGCGACGTCGAGGCGGCGGAACCGCACGGCACCGCGGAGTCCCCTGGCGCGGAGCGCGGCCGCAGCGGCCTCCCCGCGCGCCTCGTCCCGCGCCGTGACCACCACGCACAGGCCCTGCTCCGCCAGGTGCGCCGCCAGCGCGTGCCCGATGCCGCGGTTCGCGCCCGTCACCACCGCCACCGTCTCCCCGGTCCACCACGCCGCCGCCCTGCTGCATGCATGCCGCGCAGCGCAACAGATCAGGAATGAACTCTCGAGGAGCTGATCGAAGGCCGAAGCTAGCTAATGCTGGTTACACAACGAGATAGCACTACTCACTTGAGCGGTGGCGTCTCCTTGTCCCTTGAGGCGATGCAGTCCATCGACGACGACGATGACGGCATCGATCGAGCTGGTGGTTACCGCCGCCGCCTGATCTCCGTTCCAACGGGAGCTGGGGCTTGGAAAGTTGGAGTGAACGAAGCGAAGGAGATGGAGCAAGTTCTCTCGGGAGCTAAGCTAAGCGAGCTAGTTGCAAGTGATGGAAATGGAAGGGACAAGCAAGTAGCCAGCCAAGGGAACGTTTATATACAGGGACGGGACGGCCGGACGGCTTGTGAAACCAAAGCTGATGGAGAGCAAGTGGAGGTGGAGGTGGAGGTGGAGCGGAGGCCAGTGGCTGGCCAGTGGGGCATGCCCATCTCATGCATGGGGTTAGTTACGGTCAACGTAGCCGGTGGCATACGAGATGCGGCACAGGTAGCCACGTCTGAAAGCGAAGGGATACCAGAGTGCTAGCTGCTCCTCCGTTGTGCACTTGTACAGACAGCTTCTGACAATTATTCGTGTGTGATTAACAAAACGGAGGTACGCGCTTTATTAACGCAATGTGCTCAAGTCAAACTGTTTATACTTGAACTAAATTTATATTAAAAATATTAATATTTATAATACAAAATAAGCATCATTAAATTAGTTGTGAAATATATTTATTTAGAGATATAAATGCTAATACTATTTACTATAAACTCGGTCAAATTTGAGTTAGTTTAACCAGCACGGATTCCATAATCAGATTCTAATGTGGACGGATGGAGTACAAATTAATTTTGTTATGGCAGCCTCAACCTTTAAAACAATGAATGATTTTTTGTAGCTATCACATCAAAAAGTCATTTTCTAAAAACTCTGATATAGAGTTCGTAGTTATCACTCTTATCTTTCTCTCTTTCTTTTTTTTCCCTTCTGTTCTCTCTCCCACTCTCCAGCAACCAGACGCCGGCGATATGATGTAGCTCATGGGCGAGTGGCAACGCGGTGCGCGGGGGTCAGCGCGGCAAAGCAGCAACCTGAGTGGTCAAGCGAAACATGACGGCACGGCACTGGTGGTCGAGCGCGGCGGCGCGACACGAAGGGGTGAGCATGGCAGCTCAGTGGCATGGCACGAGCAGTCGAGCACGGCTGGGCGCACGAGTAGCACAGAGAGGGCGATCAAGCGCAGCGCGTGGGACGTGACCCTAACGACATATCGACGCGCATCGCTGCAGAAGTTTAGGTGAGCCTGTTGGCTTCCTCATATACGATCGTGGATTATAAGTTGGAATAATATTTTTCTCTCACACCAAACTAGCTAGCAGTAAATAATCCACGATCATTTACGACGAAACGAACCGGTAAAAAGAAAGTGTTGGTTGTTTCCTGCCAACACGAAAAGCCCTTTTGGACAGAGGATTAATACTACAATCCCTTTGAAACAAAGGATTAACCCTTATGAAATTCCATCATATTCCTATGGGGTGTATAAAATATTAAAATCATAGGAATTTGTAGAAAAAATAGCATGAGGTTGCACCTTATGAAAACTTTCCTTTATGTCTATACATCCCTCTTAGATTTTTTTGTTTTTCCCTATGTTGCATTCAAAGACCATAATGGAATCTGTCATGCATTTTAAATTCTTGTAGTATTGTAATTTCCATACAACTCTAATTTTACATGTTTCTCATTTCTGTGTTTTTTTCTTCTTCCCGTCCTGGGCTTAGTGGAGAAGTCAGAGGAAATCTTGCATATGACGGTTGTACGCTCGGCACATGCTGCTCTACCTCCACTTGTCAGCATGGTTTGAAATTGTGTTTCCTCCAGCGGAAGCAGTCATTCAGCGGCCCCTGCACGTTCACCAATCACACAACCACTTCACTAGGCAGTACTACTACGCCGTGTTCGTCGTGCATCCAATGGCGCGCGGTCATCAGAAAAGTATCCCAGTCCCACCACCACTAGTTCTCTCCAAAGCAATCAAACTTCAAAAGTTTCGGTCAGGTCAGACGAGACTGGCTATACTGCATTTCTGCTGGGTGGATCGGAATATATATAGCAGTGAAAACGAAAACACGATACTAAAAAAACTAACTATTTTAAAGGTGTTTTTTAAACAGGCAACTCCATCAAGATCCATCTCGATCGAGACCTTCATTGGCCTTAGCAAATACTCCATACTCTCTGAAAATTAAATCTATTTTTATATGTGAATAGTCCAGCCTCTCCATTTTTAGAAGTCATTGGTAAGACCATCCGCCTTCTGAAAATCGTGCTTCCAAGATCGTGAGGGCCCTTTTCAAAAGCGGTTGTAAACACGAGCTACCCCCTGTAAACCGATTTCCAGAGGCTGGTGATGTTTCCACTCGCATCTAGAAATAGCGTCCAGAATTTGAGCTGTCTCCTCCTTCCTGCTCGGGATAGAATCAGAGTCCAAGGAGAAGCGAAGCTAGAAAGGAGCAACTCTAAAATTACAAATCTAAGGGGGGAGATTTTGCTCTTGATTTCATTGTAGGAGGTGACTCTAGAAGGTAAGCTCATGTCATTCCAAACATCTTTTTTAAAGTTTAGTGCTAGATTAATTGATTAATTAGGTATTTAGTTCTCTCTCAATACATGGTTGTGGAAATAAGAGAAGACATTAGATCAGATCTTTAGAGGATCTAGGGTAAATTGAGTAGGTCAACAAAATTATTCCCTTATTTAGTCAACACGTCTTGATTTATATGGACCACTAATTGATTTTTGAATGGGGATTAAGTTTGGACCTAGAATGGTAAAATAATTTATTTTGTGAATTGTGTTGAATATTTATCGTTGCCAATTATTTTATTTCAATTTGTTGATTTTAATTATAAATTATTAATGTTTTGTTAGTTAAATTAATTAATAGCTTGATTAGGGACTAAGAATGGTACCTATGTAGTCACAGAGGTGGTAGGGTTTACTATTTTTTAGGGACATTGATGATTCAATTAAAGTTGATCGGTTTTATTTAGACTTGAAATAGATTGAATTTATGTTGCCACATTTGTTATATTAATTGATAATTTGTATGTTGCCGCATTTGTTATCCTAATTGTTAGTTCCTACATTGCCCCTGCAGCAAGCTATGTCAGTAAACGGGTCTTGCCTAGACCTTCGTTTATGTGGATGTTCATTTTAAAAGTTTAAAGACCTAGATGACACGTTTAGGAGCTAGTCAGCATTGCTAGTGCCAGCGCGGATCACCATGTCAGCAAACATGTCTAGCTGGATCTGTGACATAGCATAAGTCTAGCTGCCTAGCTCATCAGCTTGTTCAGCGGAGCAAGAAGCCGGCTTGTTTTTCAGCTTGGGACAGTGTTTTTCTCTCACAACAAATCAGCACGAACAGTGTTTTCCAACATAAACAATGTTTTTCCATACCAGCCAAACAAGCCGCATGTATGTGAATGTGCATTTTAAAGGCTAGTGTATTTTACTCCGGACTTTAGATGAGCATGTTACACCACAAGGAGCCTAACTAATTAAGCTAGGTACCCTCAGTTTGTTGTTACTAATGATTATTGATGCTTAAAAATACTTATTATAATCTACCTGCGCATACGGGATTCTGTAGTGATCCTTTGTTTAACTTAAGGCCACGTACAACGCCGCTGCTTAGCTAGGCGCTTATCAGCAGTTGCATCTTTATTTGCCACCATGGACGTTTGGCAGGGCGCTTAGAGTGAGCGTCGCTGCCTAGGCAAGCAGCCGGCGCCAGGGGATCTTTTGCCCCAGAAACTTACGGTTACACGCATGGTAGCGGCAGATTAGCATGCAATTCTAGCTTTTCCCATTGTAGGTTAAGGCTCTTAAGTAGTTTGTTGATTATTCTCTTTCCTTAAGCGCTTCTTAGGTTGTACATGCCCTAAGATGCCCTGCATGTACCCTTCCGAAACCGCAAGAAAATTGATTAGTATATAGTCACACAAAGACGCTGTCAACTTACGCCCTGTTTGCTTAGCTTATAAGCAGTACTTTTTATCCAATGAACAATATTTTTCTCTCACAACAAATCAGTCAACAGTCATGGCTTATCAACCAAACGAACTGGACATTAATATATAGAAGTATAGTTGCAGGACTATGAAATCTTTCTTGCTCTAAGATCGAGTCAGAGCGGAGCAAATAAATAAACAAACGAACCGAGACGACCAAATACCATCTTCAACGTGTGAAGAATGGATTCAATGCGACCATGAGATCCGATCCCCTTTTAAATTTAAAAACTAAAAAGAGCAATCATGAAATTCACGTTTTTCATGTAGATACGCATTACTAGTAGTAGTAGTAAGTACTCCTACTGATGGAATAAATAGGTTCAGGTGAAATTTCCGTACGTCTTACGAAATTAATAGCGCAGAATGCATTGGTTTGGTGCGATCAGGTTGTTCAAATCTCAGTTTATATATTATATTATATGTAGTGGAATAGGGTCAATTTCATTTCATTGTTTAGTAGTATATATATGTCACATTTGGTTTCATATGTGCTGCCTCAAGTTTCATGCCAAATGCCAAATGAGAACCGAGGTCCGCATGCCACATTATTGGTCAAGAAGGTTACCACTTACTACACATACACGTTGGCACGTTTGGTTGGTTGCCGAAAAAACTTACCACATGTATCTCGGACGTCCATTTTTGGATGCCTGCCAGGCATCCAACTAAACAGGTCAATAAATTATAGGAAAAATTGGCTGAGTATCATTAAAAGATGTCAACTTTAGCAATGTAACATTAAAAGATCACATCTTTGCTATCTAGCACCGAAAGGTCATCACGTTTTTGATTTCTACTATTCCGTGACCTTGGTTAACGTTCCGTGTATCTCCGTTCTTCGAGTCGTCTTCTTTCAAAGCTCTTCCCTCGTCTAATTCAACCTCGCAGCTCCCAGCCTCCCACTCGACGCGGTCGAGGGTCGTTGAGGACTTGGAGCGCGCGAGGCCCGCCAGGCGCTGTGCCCCCGTAGTCGAGCTTGACCGCGACCCCTCCAGAGAATGACGACGGCAGCGTGCCCAACATCTACCCCCTATGCTTGCTGAACTCAATCACGCCGTCCCTCACCGGCTGAGATGACGGCGCCGGCGGAGGCGTGGGCGCCGGTCCCGCTCTCAGTGGCCTGGCGCAGCACCAACATCTGTACGCGTGAGGATGGGTGGCGAAGACGGGGGCGCAGGTCCCTTCGCATCGGCTGCTCACACCGTCGCCACCGCGCCCAGCGTGTCGTCGCCATGGCTGGATCCGGCACAAGGTGTGTTGCCGCCGACGCTGTTTAACCACCCATGTTTTATCTGCTCATGTGGTTTCTACACCATGCTCCCGCTTGACTTTGCTTTGTAGTTCTTCGTCGAGACTCGGAGGCAACTAGCGTTGTTGACGTCGTCCTTGTGTGGAGCAGGTGGTCGCCGGGGCTCCTGCCAACCCCGTTGAACCTCTTGGACATGAAGAAGCTCTTGAGCGAGTTGTTCCTGGGCGCGTCCACCTCCACCGTGAAGACGGGGCAGACGGGGCGGTGGTCTAACAGCCGGACTCGTAGTGGCCGTACCGGGTCTACCTGAGCCCCGCGCCACGTCACAGGATGCGGTCGCACGGTCGCACCACATCGGCGCGTGCCGCTTGTTATGGACGCCGTGGCCCCCGGCAGCGGTGGCGCAGCCATAGTAGGCGTCGGAGTTGGGGTAGCACTTGTAGGTCGAGGAGAAGGTGATGGGCCCCTCGCTTCTGCCCTGGAACGCGCCGCCGCGGCACACCTCGGCACATAGCTGGTCGTTCGGCACACCTCGGCGCACATAGCTGGTTGTTCTCTAGCAGCGTCTGAGGACCTCGTTTACGTCGACCGAGGAGGCGGGGGCTACAAGGTTGAGTTAGATGAGGGAAGACCTTTAGGAGAAGACGACTTGAAGAACGGAGATACATGGAAAGCTAGCAAAGGTCACGGAAGTGGTAGAAACCAATAACGTGGTGATCTTTTGATGCTAGATAGCAAAGAGATGGTCTTTTAACGATACATTGCTAAAGTTGACATCTTTTAATGGTACTCAACCAAAATTTTCATAAATTGTACATATTGTATGTAGTACACCTCCCCGGTCATTGATAATTGAAAACTCTAATAAAGCGAAGCCGGTGGAGGTGGAGTCTGGCACACAAAGCCCTGAGCACATCAGGGCAAAGTTAGGCGTCAGACGAAAGCTCAGTTACTATAGAACTTAATCATGTAAAGGCGAGGTAGTCTCAGGCTTGAGACCGTGACATACTTAGGCGAATAGCGAGTATATATCCTATTGCTTTGTTTAGTGGCAACAGGACACCGACCACGTGAATCGTGATCGATTTGGAAATGCGAGTATAACATAGTGCGTGTGTAGCTAATAAACAGATGTTAGTCACTAAGCTTGATTAGGCCGGAGATAGATCGGTGCTTCTACTTTTTTCTGCTATATAAAACCTGTTTGAGCTTCGGCTTGCACCGCTGTCGGCCTCCCACGGGCCCATTGCCCAGTTTTACCTTTGAGCCCTATTTTTCCTTACCAAACATGTTAAAATATATTTATTGATTTTTATTGTCATTCGAGTTTTACCTTTGACTACTATTTTTCCTTATGTTAAAATATAGTTACATCTACCATTTATTTCGATTTATTATGTAAAGTTTCTAGAATGATCTTAATTTATTATGACTCGAGCTAACAGGATCATTATGTCCGTCCGATCACGTCACCGCTTCCTCCTGCCCGTCCGTCCCTCGCCCCATTGACCTCCTCTCGAAACTTCCACACACACCTCGCGCATGTCCTCCCCAAAAATAATAGATTTGGCGCCTCCCAGAAAGTTCGCCGCACGAGAGCAGCCCCGCCCCTTTCCCCTCTGCCACCGCAGCTTCCCTTCCGCGTCGCTGCCTCCCACACCCGCGCGCCTTCCCGCGGCTGGGGCCACCTCGACGCGACTACTGCCGCCGCTAGAGAAGCCGTCGGACACTGCAGCCCACCTGAGTCGCCCTCCTTCGCCAGATCTCCAGCACCTCCTACCCCGTTGTCGCGCCGCTCACCGGAGCTTCTTCGACCCTCGCGGCCGCCCTCCCCAAACTCGCAGCGCTCCAGTCCCCTCCGGCGCCCTAGCCTGCCCTCCGCGCCGCCGCCTCGCAGCCACACCGGCCTGCCCTCCGAGCCGCGTAGTGCGAGCGCCATCGGCGACGCCGCCCGCCTCTGCCACGGCCTGCAGGGCCGCCGTGGCCTCCGCTGCCTCAGCCTCCGTCCTTCATGTGCGTTGGGCTGCTAGGTGATCTCACTTTTTAATTTTTTTAACCTACTTATGATTGGTGTTCAAGAGTTCTAATAACTTAGCAACCATTCCCTTTCATCTATATACAAAACAAATGGCATTGCAGGGGTTTCTCAAACTCGATCTAGATCGAGTCTATGGCTGCCCTCAACAAAAAATTGGTTTGCAGGGTCTCTTCAGGTAACTCTATTCAAATAATTCATATGTCGATGAGTTACTGCAGTCCGGTATGTGCAAATGTGATATGAAATTAATGAGTTCGCATTCCAGCTTTTTCAAAGATGGTTTATATGTTCCATGCTTTATTTGGATTACCTGCATATTGATCCTTAATTGCTTGCGCAATAGATTACAAATTGATAGATTCATTTGTTGCTAAATTCTGTAAAAAAAACCTCATGTTAATTTCATCGCTATCCGAAATTTGAGCCCAATGTTCTTGAAAAGCTTTGTTGAGGAATGAAGTGTCCTGTGCCGCTGTTTTGTGTTAAGGTCTTTACTGCCTACATTTTCAGCCTCCGTCCTTCATGTGCGTTGGGCTGCCAGGTGATCTCACTTTTTAATTTTTTTAACCTACTTATAATTGGTGTTCCGGAGTTCTAATAACTTAGCAAACATTCCCTTTCATCTATGTACAAAACAAATGACATTGCAAGGGTTTCTCATGCTCGATCTAGATCGAGCCTATGGCTGCCCTCAACAAAAATTGGTTTGCAGGGTCTGTTCAGCTAACTCTATTCAAATAATTCATATGTCGATGAGTTACTGCAGTCCGGTATGTGCAAATGTGATATGAAATTAATGAGTTTGCATTCCAGCTTTTTCAAAGATGGTTTATATGTTCCATGCTCTATTTGGATTACCTGCATATTGATCCTTAGATTCATTTGTTGCTAAATTCTGTAAAAAAAACTCATGTTAATTTCATCGCTATCCGAAATTTGAGCCCAATGTTCTTGAAAAGCTTTGTTTAGGAATGAAGTGTCCTGTGTCGCTGTTTTGTGTTAAGGTCTTCACTGCCTACATTTTCAGACTGCATGGTTATGGGTCGTTGCCAATGTGATATCAAATTAGTAGGATACACTACAGAATGACACTATATCTAATAAGGGTACAATATTTTTTATTTTACTTCCTTTTCCTCCAGGAAAACTCATGTGATTACTCATGGTAAGATTTCCTACACTACCCATCTACACTCAACAGTTGGCACTAGCACGACGCCACCACCCATTGCTGATCCTGATGTTGCTACAGCCCCAAGGGTAATACAGTTTGTCGCTTTTTAACAATACCTTTGCTGCTGGCTAACTTAGGTGCTGTTACACATGCATCAAGAATAGGCCACTGAATTTTATGGTCAACTCCTTCGTGTTCTAGGGAACTAGCAAGTATGGACGTCCATGTACAAACTTCCATTTGAAGCAAGATGGCGTTAATCCAGCATCAGTTGGACCCGGTAACTATTCGATTCTTCCTTAATGACAGGTGTGCAGTTTGTTTAAAAAATCTCTGCTAAATGGCTCTCAAGTTTGTTTGGCTTCATGAAAACATTCACTACAGTTCATTACTATGGGCTTATTCTTCGACGATCGCCTGCATGTTATCCATTCTAAAGGGCTATGCTAATTCCCCCTCCTCGCTACCACAATCTAAATACTTTGGGCACAATAATCTCGTGGCTATCCATTTTAATCACTGAAGGGGATTCCAAATTCCGTCATTATACTGTTTTTAGCATCAAGATGTCTACATAGACTTCCTATTGACTATAGCCCATACTGATTGCTGCATGACTTATGAATGCCATTTTCTGTTTGACAATTTACATGAGAAGGTAAGAACCGCAACAACAGAACTAATCATGCTTTCCATTTATAGGTACCAAACAACAAGGGATATATCATGTCCAAATATTCTGCGTTTGAGACAACACAATCCAGGGTGACATGGGTTTATTGTTCATATTCTTGGATCTACTTAAATTCCTAATTTGAAGGGATATTTTTATGCCCCCCAAAATTATGAATACTACCTTCAGAAATTTTTGTGAACCTTCATGATGCAACCCAGTAGATGATTTCAATGTATTCATCTTAGTCACTATAATTTCTCTTACTTCTTTCTTATTAAGTTGTAACTGCAACACTGTCGACAAAAGGTGCTCGGTAGTCCACCGAGGGGTATCCTACGATGGTAGATTTGTCGTAGAGGTGCGTGTAATCAAGAACAAGAAGGCAATAGAGACACAGGGCCATCAGCACGACGTAATATCCTACTCCTGTTGGTTTGTATTGGCGATCGTATGATGTTGCGTGTGTTTTGAGGGGTCTCTTGCCCGCTTTATATAGTCCGAGGAGTAGTGTTACAAGTCGGTTAGATTTAGGATATAACCGGAAAAGTAATAACAGATTACATGAATTATGGGATTGAACCTATCCTAATAGATCTTATATTATCTTTAGAATATATTTCTGGTATCTTGCGGGGCGCGTCGAGCAACGCTGTGCTCCGTAAGGATTTGTCTTGTGGGCTGGACCATCTGTAGCCTGATTGGCTATCGGGGGTCGTAAACCAACCCCCCCCCCAGACACTTCCCCGCGGCCGCGGGGTACTGGCTAGTTATCTAATAATCATGTATTACGAAGGTAATATAACTTACAAGACAAAACTACGTTTAACGTCATGCTCCCAATAAACAAAATATTTTGAAACTATCGGCGGTCACAAGTCTGGCCCGTATTAATCAAAGTGTCAAGTATTTGTGTCTAGATGGCGAACAGAGTGGTATTATTTTTCTCGGCTCTAGCTAGCCTTTAGTGTTTGTTTTTTTTAGAGGAGTTTGGTTGTTAATTATTTGGTGGTGTGTATGTACTGCCTTTTTGCAACGTCCACACTACAGTGACATCACGTACACCCTTGACAGTGGTCAATTAATAATATTCCAAGTAGGACAATAAACAACGCCTCTCACAACATATAGTCTGCCGCTGTGTCCACTGTCCATCGTCCTACTTCCTCGGTCCGGATCTCATGCGGCCCCATTCCCTCAAGAGGCCCGTTTCGTTTGTGGGCTTGCATACACTTACACAGGCCGAGGCCCGAGGTCGGTTAGCCTAATTTGGCCCACTACTGAATTAGACGTAACTATAGCTATTGTGTTTGTTAGGCCCAATTCGATGGATCTCTGGCATGCTGCAGCTCATGTAGCTACACTACAGCAAAGATTTATTTTTATCTCTGCTCTCAAAATGAACAACTATTTTTTGCTTTACTTACTACAACACCTCCGCGACTGTAGTAGCAAGCTACGCCAAAGATGCCTTTACTCTCTCTCTCTCTTCTTCTTACTTTTCTAGCATTATTAAAAACTAGTACATCATGCGCGCCATCGCGCGCGCCGGGCAATTAAACGGGAAATCAAATGGTATAGGTAAGCATAGCAAGTACCGGTAAACGCAGCACAGTGGTACAAATTGTATTTATATTACATGGATGGATGTCATGAAGCCAGCAATCTTTCAGAGTTGGAATGTTAGGGTAGTGTTACTGACATACTACAACAGCTCACGCCATATGTCCAACGACAGTTATATAAATAGAGTCTGCACAAAGGCAAAGATTAGCAAGTAGGATTCGTAGTTTTATAACATTAGATAGTGGGATCCTAGACTATACAAGAATGCTGACAACGAGGTTCAAAAGCGCCCAGATTGCATGCCGGTATAGTAACTTAGGCAGCCAAGTTTTGAACCGGCGTTGTAATTACACTGTACATTGTGTTGAAGATGAGCTTGGCTGTAGGCGTTGTGACGGCCATGTACAAGGCGATGCACCAAGGGGTTTGACAAGCTGTACAAAATATCAGATAGGTTGAGGTGATAATAGCAGTGTTGAAGAAGGTGATTTTTAAAAACTATGGCAGTATGTATCTAAAAACCTGTATCATTTTTTCTGATTGCCTGATGATGATTTGCGTCCACCAGATTTGGCATGTGGTTTAGTATCCTGAGCTCTTGGCCTGCAAGCAGAGCATATTTATTATTGTTGAGAAGTTGCATAGAAGGATTATATGCTCATGTTGTAACTTATCACTTTAAACAGTTTTGTAAAAACGTGAATATCCGATTTATAGTTAGTGTTTAATACCTGCATGGGAAGTCATGCCACCTCTTTCTCTAAGAATCCCAGCAGCTGCGTGCATGCCACCAACATCCTCAGGGCTGGTCTCCGCCCTTACCAGAATAGCAGCTTTCCCTTGGGCATGCCATGCTTCAGCATCCTCATCAGTAAACAAAATCTGGCCCACAGCAGCCCCAGGTGAAGCTGGTAGGCCCGTGGCAATAACTTGATCCTTGTATGCCGCTGCGTTCTCAAACTGGTTTTCCATAAAACGAGAGGGGGGAAAACCGGTATCAATGCATGCATATCAACTTCTATGAGTTCCTGAGAGGTCTCAAGATCAGGTTCAGTGAAGGTTGTTTGATCCTATAGGAAAAGTACGTGATTGACAGAGGTCGCTGAGCATAGTTAATAGGAAGTCTGTATTCACATTTGTTATGTGTGGGAATGCAGGTCTAGCATCAGTATGTGCGGTGTACAGTTTAGGGGGAAAAAGATATGTTTTGTGGGTACAAAGAAGACAAACCTCCTCATGAGTAGATTGGTCCTCAAACAGCTTCCTCTTTGCAGGTTTCTTTTCAATATGGGTTAATTTACTTTTGCCAATATAGCATGAGAAATTACGAATCGGCAACTAATGTTTGATTAATTAATCAAATTAAGTGTGAGCTGTAGTACTTTAAATATAGCGAGCATGTATAATATTCAAAGGTAGTAGTGCACAATGCAGAACAATATAGAACAAAGCGATCCGAAGCAATACTAACTGTGATGATGAAATAAACACAATTACACAATACTACTACTTTCATGTCACCAGAAGAAAAGGACGGTTGTATGTACAAGGATTTAAATTTATCAATGTGCATTGACCTGATGGTTTCATGTCATGTTATCGATGATTCGCACGACGATCTTACACTACCAAGGTCAGTAGCTTACTAATGTCCCAGTAGTAAGAAAAATCTGTAGTAATCTAATTTTTAGTGACTTACTGAGTGTAATAGGAAGATAGCAAGAACAATTTGTTTTCATATATTCTGAGTGCGCTAATTTTGACAGCATAGCGTAAAATAGGTAACTCATGGGAAAAAAACAACACACAGTTAGATATTTCTGACAATGAAAGTGGTAAAGTAATTAGTAATTGAGTTAGGAAATGGCAAGTCATGACCATTGTGACAGTAAGGCTGACACAAGAAAGAAGTCCAGATGTCTTGGTTGAATTTCACAAAACTTTTAAAGGTATGAACACTAATTCTCAGAGATACCATATGTCAAGCATCCTTCAGAAGGTCAGATCAAACCATCTCGTGGACTATATAAACCATCTATCATTCAAGCTATCTTGTACAGCCATTGTTAAACAGTGGGCACGTTTAGAAACGGATCTAAAAGTGAAGCAAAGTAGGAAAGGAGATACTTACATTCTAAACAGTAGCCATTGTTAAATAGCTATCGCGCGCGCCGGCAAGGTAGGAAAGGAGATACTTACATTCTAAAGACCACACGGGTCTTACAGAGAAATGTTAAATTTGCCAGTGCCTAATCATATTGGGAAAACCACAACACTTCATAAATTTCGTGCAACGATATTAATTCTCGTAGAAATTTTACTCACACATATGCATGTCATAGGAACTTTAATGATTTCAGCATATATATATTAGTGTTAGCCACCTTGTCAGCTGATAATAGATAAAAAAAATTGAAGCTCCAGAGCTTGATAACCTGATGGTAATTAACTCAGCGAGCAAATTGCAAGCCAAAGCTATGATATTCACAAAATATATCATGGCATTGCGCCGAAATGGCAAGCGACATGATGAGCATTAATTGTGACCAATTTTAGCCTCCTTACAACAATAGAAGCTAAGCAAACAAAACAACTACCAGCACCAACAAAATCCAAACACATAACGCCATTAACAAGGCAATCACTTGACACCTCTCAAAAAAAGTCATCAACTTGATTGGAAGAGAAATGGACTTGTCCCTAATTTCAAAAGGTAGAAAACTACTAGAGCTCTTCTTTTCATGTTCTTTTTAAAGTTCAAAGTGATCCATAGAGGCTTACTTGCACCCAATCAAAGAATTCATTTGGAGTTTTTAAAATGGCAAACTTGTTGCTAAAAATCGCAACTCGACTCTTCAATATGAACACACAGGGAAGCAAAGAAAACGATCGGTTTACTCCGATTAGTCCAATCCACCCAACCAATGTAGACACGCACCACAAGATTTCTTTGATCCAATTAGAGACATTCCACTTAAGTAGCACAACCATCATTATAAAATAAAAAGCACAGCCATAACCAATAAGCTAAGTATCGAATGGAAAATACAGACCTAACGACATAAAAAAAAAAACATGTAAAATGAAATGGAAAACTAAATAAGCTTAGCATGGAAGTCGAATGACTCACCCCGCATATGAAACAAATTTAGGGATTTTAGTCACATTTTTCGGGTTCATAGTATACAATGCACCAATGAAGATCAATTTCGAGACTTGTGAAACCAAGCTTAAATTAGCTAATTGGAATATAAAACTCTCAAACTTGTAAGATCTGCTTGTATGAAGGCTTGTGGCATAGTAGTCAAAATTCACATGAAAGGAAGCACTACAGATACCTCGGTTTAATTTCTTGTATTACTCAGTAGTCTGCAGTACTAAAGAAATATAGACAACAAAACTATTTTGAGCATGTACCGCCTCCGGGTAGTTGATCAAGAATCAATGGCAACAAAGAAGCACCAAGGTGGGCCCGACTAACACCATAGGGCTTTTGATGTGTATGATTTCCAAAATACACATACAAGATAAGTTGTAAGCGTCACATCACTTTGTAACTAAGAAAATAACAGATCAATGTAAACATTAGATAGTAGCGTCGGTTCACGACAACTCGACAAGAACTGGCTGGTCTTAATTGGCTTTGTCTGTTAGGCATAGGAGAGGAGCGGTGGGAGTGGTGTTCATACTTTTTTTAATGAAAAATGATAAGCAGCTCTCCTAGGTGTTCGAGAAAAAAATACAAAAGTGGAAAATAAACTGAAACTATTGTAGCAACTCAGGAGGAAATTGTGTATTTTATAACATGCCTGATAAGGTCGGTGGTTCAGTTATTCTCATGCTAATTAAGTTGTTACTCTCATGCTAAGCAAGCTGATGAAATCAGGTACTCTAATACTCTAATGTTATAAGCAAGTTATTCAAATCAGCTACTATCAGTACTTGAGTAGCATTCTAGCGTTTGCCATATTATAATGCTCTAATGCTATAAGCAAGTTGTTCAAATCAGCTACTATCAGCACTTGAGTAGCATCCTAGCGTTTGCCATATTAGAATTAGGAAATTAGGTCATCACAAGGAAAAGTACACACAATGTGCCAATTAGCAAAAGGTATAGATAAGCGAAAGATGACGAACAGGGAGAGCAGCGGCGCTGGGTACCGGAGATGGCGTGTAAGTGGTAACCCTAGCGCTCATGGCGTCGCTCGACGACCGAGGTCGACGGAGGGGGCCCGGCGGCGGATCCGCCAACCAGTTAGATCCGGCACCCAACGGATCTTGCGGAGACGGGGAGGGCTCGCGGTGGATCCGACTGGTCGCCGTAGATCCACCGCCTCCGTTGCCTGCGCGAGGTCGAGGCCGTGCTCGAGACCAGATGTACCGAGAGGTTGCCTTGGCGACCTCCCGTCGTCATGCACGGCCACCACGGAGGTTCCTCCGCCGCTAGAGGCCTCCGTGGCGTGAGGCTTCATTGGTAGGCTGCGCCGTGGGGACGACCGGCACGGAGGGGCGAAACCCTAGTCCATGACGACCGGCTTTCGGAAGTGGCGTGGTGGTGTTGTTGGTGGTGGAGGAGAAGGAGGAGGAGGGACGCCGCCGCCGCGCGGAGGTCGGGCCACCGCCGAGGTCGTCCCGCGTGTTCGCCTGAGCCGCGTCGCGAGTCGGGAGGGAGAGAGAGAGAGAGAGAGAGAGAGAGCGGAGAGGAGGAGGGCGTCGGTGTCGGTGAGAGCCGCCGAGGGTTTTGTAGCGGGCCCGGGAACTGTAGCGAGCGGTGGAGAGAGCAACGGCCGTCGATCGGAAGATCGGACGGGCCGGGGAAATCGGGCGACGTGGATACCCTGAGGAGCGGCCGAACCTCCCTGCTTTGATAATAAGAAATAGATACAAGGCCCTCACAGCATCACTGGTCACAACGAACGATGAGCTTTTCCACTAGATTTTCACACGATCAGCGTAACCATGGCCAAAGAGGAAAATAAGACCAAAAAATAAAAAGATTACAAAGTATAGCTATTTGCTCCAAAGAGAGGCCAAATGTTCCCAAAATAACAGAGAGGTGTGACAGAAAGAATTTAGTAATGATGGAATAAGCAAAAATTCCATCTGCAGTGCCTTGAAAAGAATTTATTAATGATGGCATAAATAAGCATTACAGTCTCTGCGTCAGCGATGCATATGGCCACTTATTCCAACAAAGTTTTAAACATATTGTAGTTCAACAATGTAGCAAACAACACACCTCAACATTTACACCAATAAGAAATTTACTATTTATGTGAGGACTGCGTGCATCTTATGAAATTCTGAAATGCATCTCTCAAATTCGTAGATCTGAACCAATCGCACAAAAGTAAGGGTGGCAAAGGGCTGTGTTCGTGTTAGCGCCTAGCAGGATATCAACTCTTTCAACCTAGAAAAGATCGGTGTGTAAGCGGTACAATTAGAGGAGAGAGAGGGTTCATATGTGCCGCGTAGACCGTGTCACCAAGGCATGGTTATAAAAAAACGAAAACGCCCCTATTTCATTAGGCACAACAACACCCGTTTGTCTTTGATAGCATTATAGTCAATGGTTCAATACATATTCGATATCTTCTCTAACAACCAGACTTAAAAGAGAATTTTTTTTGTAAATGGGTTTCTAAAGAGATGATGTTCATATTTTGGTTGTGCCTCTCAGGTAAAAAAAAAGATCTTCTATCTAGATATTTTGTTGGAGGCTGATTTTAGATTAATTTTAGGTTTAGTTTCTCGTATATGGTTTTTTATCGGAGATCGTCTTAAAAAAACGAATCTCGTGAAACTGAGGTGACAGATGGTGCCCACTCGCAGCCCATCTCGATCGCTAAAGCATCTTGACTGCCGTTAGTCAAACTGACAGAAACAGGAAAATATCAAAGAAATTTCTGGGCCGTTGACGTTGACCTCGTCCGTGCTATATTGTACGGATACTTTATTATGTTTCGATGTCGTGTGATGGTGGCCACACGGCTAATCTATCTTGTCAGATTTAATTCTCCATTTGACTTGGTGCCGGTTTAGTTCCCAAAATTTTACAAATTTTTTTAAGATTCTCCATCACATCAAATCTTTAGACGCATGCATGAAGCATTAAATATAAATAAAAAATAAAACTAATTACACAATTTAGATGAAATTCACGAGACGAATCTTTTAAGACTAATTAGACTATGATTAGACATTAATTATCAAATAACAACGAAAGTCCTACGGTACTATTTTCCAAAAAAATTCGCAAGTAAACACGGCCTTGCTAATCCGGCTGACATAGTGGTAGAGTAGCAACTGATTATTAGCTGGAAAGATATTTTTGGCGGCCCCCGGTTGTCTTTCCATTCCATCAGTTGTTGGAGAGGCAGAGCGGTGTGACATTGCAGGATGCATAAACGCGTGGTGTTGGTGAGCGCGGCGGTGGCCGTGCTCGGCCTCGCCGCGGCCGCCTTGGGGTTCGTTGCGGAGAGCACCAAGTCCAAGGCGGGCTTACAGTTTGCACCTGGTTCGACTTCGATCCATCGATCGATCGGCTGCGCAGGCTTTCGTAGGCTTCGACGGGCAGCGCTGCGTGTACCAGCGCACGCCGGCGCTCGGCTGCGGCGTCGCCGCGGCGCTGCTCGCGCTGACGGGGCTGGCCATCGCCACCGCGGCCAGCGGATGTCTCCGACGCGACGCGCCCGCGACCGGCCGCAGGCGCGCCGTCGCTGTCAAGCTCTCCACCATCGCCTGGTACGCCGCCGGCCGCTCAATTGCTTGTTGGTAGACATCTTGGTTGTGGTTGGTCGTTATACATATCTATGCCTCCTCGTCAGGGTGGTGGCGGCGGTGGCGGCGGTGATGTTCCTTTACGGCGCGGCGATGAACCGGGGCGGGACGCGGGACCTCTCGGCGAGGAGGGAGGGCCGGCGCTACGGCCGCGGCTACTACTACGGCTGCACCGTGCTCAAGAGCGGCGTCTTCGCCACGGCGTCCATCTTGTCCGCCGTGGCCACCGGGTGCGCCATCGCGGCCTACGTCTACTTCCAGCGGACGGACGAGCCGGCGCCGGGCCACTTCGTCGCGCCGGGCGTCGCGATGGGACAGCCGCAGTGGGCGCAGCCGTATCCTCCACCGCCCTACCCGCCGCCTATGGCTTACCCTGCTCCTCCCCAGTACGGGCACGGCGGCTACGGCCCCAAGCAACCTGCGGGCACAGCTTGAGCTGGATGCATCGTCAGTTCCGTTCCGTGGAGTTGCGCGGTGTCACCATTAGCCGCTCATGGTTTCCACCTTTTGTGCTTTTCTTTTGTCTATATATACTAAGCATGATCCGCCCGTTGCTACGGCTTAAAAATAAAATCGTTGTACGTATGAATTAGACATATATATATATATATATATATATATATATATATATATATATATATATATATATATATATATATATATATATATGAAGTCGTCCTTCGAAAACCAAGTCTCCATATTATCGTGCCGAGGAAGTTACTACGTCGATTGGTCGATGTCATCCTCATCTTCAACAAAGTTGCTATGGAAAAAACGAATCCACCTTGCCCTCGCCATCGCAGGGAGGAGGAGGAGGATCTCCGGTTAAAAAAAAAAACTTGCATTGAGAGATCCTAACCTTAAAGGACTCGATATACTAGAAAACTTATTAAAACAAAGGGTCCCCACTCCCTCAAGTCTCCAGTGAGATACGGGGAGGAAGAGAGGGGGCAACAGTGGTGGAGGCGGGGGTGGCGGTGGTTCTCGCTAGGGCTTCAACAAAACGACTCTAGTTGGCCTCGCTTGTGCGGCCTATTGCAGCCCATGTAGCTAAACTGTAGCAAAGATTTATTTTTATATCTAATCTCAAGATGAACTAGAAGCTGGCGAAAACTACTCTATTCTAAATTATAAGATATTTTTTTGTTCTTTTCAGATAACATGACTTTTATTATGTATTTAGATATATATCACAAAACATCTTATCATTTAGAACGGAGAGTACTATTTTTTTCTCACTGGCTATGACTCCACCACGCACTGTAGTAGCAAGTGACGCCAAAGATGTCTTCTTCTTCTTCTTGGTCGTGATGATGATGATGATCATGTTGTTGTTGTTGTTGTTGTTGTTGTTGTTGTTGTTTGTTGTTACTTTTCAACATATTACAACCAGAGATATAAGGCCCTCACTGATCACAACGAACCATGAGCATTTCCACTAGGTTTCACACGATCATCATAATCACTTAATCATCGCAAAAATTGGAATAGACAAAAAATAAATAAAAAATACTGGGTCCATACAACAAAGCACAACTATTTTCTCCAAAGGAAGGCCAAATGTTCCCAAAATGACAGAGAGGCAGTCAGAAAAAATTCAGCAGCGATGGAATAAGCAAGCAATTCATGAGCAGTGGCTTAAAAAAGAATTTATTAACGATGGAATAAATAAGTTTTAAACATATTGTAGTTTAACAATGCTAGAAAACAACAAACCTCACCATTACACACCAATGAGAAAATTACTTTTTATGTTAGGAATGTATGCATCTTAAGAAATTTCTGAGATCTAAACAGATTGCAAAAATTTCTGAAATGCATCTGTGAAATTCGTAGCTCTGGACCAATCGCAGAATATAGCAAGGATGGCAAAGGAAAGATATAGCTTGCATTGTGTTCATGTTACCGCCTAGCAGCGTGATAGGTCGAGACGGCCGACTAAAGAGAGCGTGTAAATAGTCATTTCTAAAATTTAATCGCACCGACTAACTAAAACAAATATGGAATTACACTACTCGGTCTAGCTAAGACTACACCCATTTATCTATGTGCCGGTGCGAAAAGTGACCAACAAGTAAATATTTATCGTTTTGCCGTACGTTGTGATCGGATGTGGCCTAACACTCAATGATACAGGGTTTATACTGGTTCAGGCAACGTGCCCTACGTCCAGTTTGAGTCGGTCGGTGACTTTATTCCTGAGCCCAGGTGCTCGAAGTTTGCTGTGGGGTTACAAACGAGTGGGAGTAAGATGGGGTTGTTAGAAGTCCGGTCGGACTCTGGACCGAAGGGCCAAGAGTGATGGGAGCTCCTACGTGCGATATGTATTGGAACGTATGCTGCCTGTGTAGCTTTATAATGTCTAAAGCTAGTAGAGAGTGAGTCGGAATGATCCGCCTGTTGTTCGTCCTTTGTTGTCGTGTGTTGTCTGCCCTTGTTGGGAGAGGGCGTATCCCCTTTTATAGATGAAGGGGATGGCCTTACAAGTGAGAGAGAGAGTGAGAGAAATAGCGTGTGTGCTATTAGTCTTGTTGCCCACGCCAGTCGGGTACAAGACGGTTTGTCGGCGCCCACAATACTGTTGATGGCCAGATGCATGTGGTAGGTTCCACCGTGTTCTTCTGGCATGGCAAATGTCAGCGCCTACCATACTGTAGGACAAATGTCGGCACGCCACAACACTGTTTGTGTTCTGACATGTCTGAAAAGTTATAAAGTACCGTTCTGACATGACCCGACAATACTATCCTGTAGATGTGCAGGGTACGGTCCTCGGTATTGCGATTGACTTGAGCGCCCTGCCTTACTTGCTCTGCCTGTTTCTTTGGGTCCTTACCGAGTGGGCGTCCCCGTTCGGTCGTTTCCCAGTCGGCTCCGACCGCGCTGGTCGGAGAAGAGCTGTAAGCAAAGGTTCGGTGTACTCTCGGTCGGAGATGTGGGTTGGAGTCAGAAGTGAGCGTCGTCCCCTCCTTGGCCAGGCCTTCCGGTCGGAGAAGTGGGTCGGAGTCGGAAGCGAGCGTCGTCCCCTCCTTGGCCAGGCCTTCCGATCGGAGAAGTGGGTCAGAGTCAGAAGCAAGCGTCGTCCCCTCCTTGGTCCAGGCCTTCCGGTCGGAGAGTGGATCGCTCTTCTAGCCTATCGTTTAGGTACCTAGGCCAGCCCAGGAGTTACGCGTTGTTTCACAATGTTGTCTGCTGGGCCAAGCTTTTGCTGGGAAGCAGTCCCATTAGGGACCTTGGGTTTATGAACCCGACAGGAGCCCCCAAGCCCTCGGTTGATTCGGGTAGAATCGTCTAGGGGATTTTTTTGGTTTGACAGCGGGTGCGCGCGAGCGCACCCGGTGGGTGTAGCCCTCGAGCGATTTGGGTAGAATCATCTGGAGGATTTTTTGACATGCCAGCGGGTGCGCGCGAGCGGACCCGGTGGGTGTAGCCCCCGAGCGATTTGGGTAGAATCATCTGGAGGATTTTTTGACTTGCCAGCGGGTGCGCGCGAGCGCACCCGATGGGTGTAGCCCCCGAGCATGCGTCCGATTGGAGAGTCGATTGGAGGCTAAGTATCTTGGTACTTCTTTCCTAGGACCGCAGACTCCTGTGTTTCTACCGTTCGGGGTGTTCGCCCATGTTTGTCTCGCCTGTGACCTGTGCAGTCGGTTGATTTCCTGAGTCAGTGTGGGGCGACCTGAGCCCTTGAGCCCCGTTGGGCTCGGTAGGGGTTGGTCTTGTTCCGTGCGTTACCCCGTCCATGGTCTCCGCAACTAGAGGGGTTGAGCTAACGTCGCTTGCCTCGACGGCTCGAGTGACGCGCTCGGTGAGCTCGCTAACAGGCGTGTTCGAGCGGAATTCGGGTCCATCGTTCATGACAGGGTCGGCATAGCCCTCATGTGGCATTCCACTGCTCCTTAACCCGCCTCCCGATAAATGCCTGGGTTGTTCCGAAGACCAACTCAGGTGGCCCGCTGGCCTCCCCTCGATGGAGATTCTGTGGGCATGGCTCGAGGTTAGGATCGAACAAGAAGGTTGAGATGACCCTGTCTGCTTCTGATCATACCGGGCGAGGGCCGCTAGGGCTCATCTATGTTTTCTCCCCTGGCTCTGTTTGGCGTGAGGCGGCCTCGAGCCCTTTGAGGGCTAGCCTTCGAACCCCGATCGATCGTTGCTCATGTTGAATGAGGCAACTACCGTTTCGTGATGCAACACGAAGCGTTGTGATGCATTAATTGCATATCCGATGCTTTGGTTGTATGGGATGAATGAATGATTGTATGAATGAATGTGTAAATGCGTGTATGAGAATGAATGATTGAATGAATGATCATGCATCAAAAAATAAAGTAAGAACGTTTGGTATAGTTACCTTGATGACCGAGTGATGGGTTTGAGGAGCTCTTATCGGATATGTCCAAACGGGATCCATGTCCATCGTTCGTGGCGGAGTCGGCGTAGCCCGCATGGGGCATCCCACTGCCCCTTACCTGTCTCTCGGTAGTCGCCTGAGCCGTCCGATCGACTCAGGTAGCCCGTTGGTCTCTCCTCAATGGAGATTCTATCGGTGGGCCCTTCCAAGCCCTGTCTGGGAAGGCGGAGGGACGTTCACATGCTATTGCGCCTTGTTTCCTGCGCTCGGCGTGCGGTACTGGTGGGCCATGCCCAGGCCACGTCCTGTTTAACCAGTGTCATTTCGTTGGGTAGGGCGTGTCCCATCTATCAGGACGCGTCCCACCGCATGCCTATCCGCATTGAATAGGGGAAGGGAGAGGGTTTTTTTGCCCCAATCCTTCGCCTTTCTCCAACTACTGCCTTTCCTCCTTAAATAGGGGAAGGGAGAGAATTTTCATCCCATTCCTTCACCTATTCTACAAATGTTGCCTCTCCTCCTTCCCTCTCGCCAAGCATGTTCGTGTGCCGTGGCGGTTCCTAGGAGAAAAGAGGGTAAAGCGAGGGAGAGGAGAACTCACAAATCCGTTCGTGAATTCGGAGCACAATGTCGAACTGGAGGCCATCCAACGTAGATGAGGCGGTGCTAGCCGCCTTCGCCGAGAAGGGGCTGCTTCCGCCAAAGGAGGTGGCGCACTGGAGGGCTCCTGCACCGAGGGAGGCTATTCTGCGACCTTGATCCAACGAGGTCATCTCCTTTCTTGCCTTCCATGAGCGCGGGCTAGGATATCCCACGCACTGGTTCTTGCGCGGGCTCCTCAATGAGTGGGGCCTAGAGCTGTAGCACCTCAATTCGATTAGGGTGCTGCACGTCACTGGCTTCATCATCGTCTGCGAGGCCTTTCTCTGGATGGAGCCGCACATGGACTTCTTTCGGCGAGATCTTCATCGGGCGAGCCTTGTTGGAGGGGAAGCCGCCCAGGACCATGCCGGTTGGGGGCTTTGTGCTACAGAAGAAGCCAAGGCTGCCGGTCTCCTACCCCGCGTACTCCCCCTATGAC